GAAATAAGCCTCTAGACGTGCAAATAGTAACAATGAGTAAACCAATGCAGACAAAACATGTCTTCAATTACAATCAACATTTATAGCGTCATAAGTGATGAAAGCATGAAAAAATGTAAATTGGCTGAAAATTGCCGCAAATTATTTTCCATGACGACAGCTGCAATTGGCAATCATTTTTCAAAATTATTTTTTTAAATAGCCATTAATTGGACAATTTAGTAGAAAACACCCATCAGTCATCCGTAACATGAATACGAGTGATAGAAGACAAACGATTTACTTTTTTGGGGCCAGTTTTCTAACCAGTCTATCGTAACTGCCTTAAGAGCTCCTTGAAATGGTCACAATGGATGGCAATAATTTTGTAATTGAGCAACTAATTGCTCACAATTTGCAGGTTTAAAGAAACAAAATGAACATTAAATTCTTGCAACTACTTCTCTGCACTTTGTGGATTTTGGAAAAATGTGAGGCGGAATTGGAAATTGTGAGCCAGTGGAACTTGTTGCAGTTCGATCCACCTTATGGGTACAGTGCGGTTGATTTCAGGTAAATGCGATTATTTAGTGTAACTAAATTAAATTTTTTACATAAAAATAAAAAACACCGCGCCTATAAACGTATGGAATGTATAGAATAGTTCCAAAGAAAGGCCCTTTTGGAACCTTCTGAAGCCTTTTGAGCGTGCTCTTGACAAATTTGGATCAAAAAGCCGATTCAACATACTCTTGATTAGACAATTCCAGCAGTTTCCAGCATTTTGCATCTGCTTCAAATTTGTTTTGTTATAGACCAGAAAACACTGTATTCACCGGTTTGGAAGTAACAGCGGACCGAATATTCCTTGGAGCGCCCCGCCTAAGAGCGGGTATTCCTGCAACATTATTTACCATTCCCCGAAACATTCCCTTAGGGTCCAGCCCTAAACCCCAACCATATCCCGACTGGTCGTATCATGGTGCCGGCTTGGGATTGGACAACGAAACCACCTGCGCGGGTTTGGTCTCTGTTTACAGAATGAGGCTGGACTCTTGTGGAAGATTATGGGTAAAGAATGCGACCGACTTTCACTGGGGAGGAGTTTAACGGAATACTTATTCCAGGCTCTAGATTCGGGAATAATGACATCGGTTGACGACTTTCAAAGAATATGCAACCCCAAATTGGTGGTTTTCGACTTGAAAACGAACCAGCCAGTTAGAACCGTGATCTTTCCTAGACAAGTACTGAGACCTGCGTCCTTACTGGCCAACCTGATCATCGATGAAACCATTCAGGGAACTTGCGATTCAGCCTTTGTTTATCTGGCAGATACCGCTGCTCCAGGTATGTTCACCTGGGCGAAATTTTTAAGTTGAAGTATATTTTTTTGGGGTTTAGGAATTGTTGTGTATGATGCACTTCGGGACCGAACTTGGAGAGTCACTCATCCGAGCATGTTCCCTGACCCCAACTTTGCTACTTATACCATTACAGGCGAAAGTTTCACTTTGCCTGATGGCGTAGTGGGATTGGCCCATTCGCCTAAGTTAGCCACCGTTTTTTACCAACCTTTGGCTACTGATAGGTAAGCGTAGCTTTAAAGTGAAATTTTAGCAAAAGTTCTAGACGTTTTTCCATCGATAAATTAGTGTTTTTACATAAAATTTATGTGCATTTATCACATTGTTAACCGGCTAACAATCGTGTTTGAAGTTTATTTTATACGCCGCAATCTGTTTTTCTCTAGAATTTTCAGTATCCCAACTGCCACTCTAACCAAGGGCCCACCAGCTGAATTCGAAGACATTCCCGTGACTCTGGCAGGGAGAAAATCCTCTCAAGGGTTGGGTTTGGCTCTGAATCCAGCTGATGATACTCTATACTTTAGTCCTTTGACCGAAACCTCAATAGCATCATGGAATCCGTTGACTAACAAGCAAAGGTGAGCAAATCAACAAAATAGAATAGAATATACCTAAGTTGTAGATAAGTTCTATATTGTTGAGGCGGATTCATTTTTTTACAAACTTCTTTTTGGGTATTTTGCCTCAACAATTTTTGTCTTTAAAAACGAGTAAATTTCCTCACGTCTTTTATTACAGATTGATAAATAGTGCTCCCATTTCGCAATAAGAACGAATTATTTATCAAAAAGTAATCAAGAACTATTAGGAAAAATTAGAACACTTAGGCTCAAGCTGTAAGAGAAAATTCCAATTAGTAGAGAAATTAATTTGAAAAATAACCTTCATGTTTCGATAGCTATTTTCTGCTATCGTTATCAAAAAAACCTAAATGAACCTAAAAAAGAGTATGTTAATAAATTGTATAACAATAGTAGGATAATATAATATATCAAAATTCGCTCTGATAATTCGTTTGTGCAAATTGTCAGTTATGTCACTTTGACTTAATCTCATTGTTTAAATTAGTAAAGGTAATGTTAATTAATAATTTTGGTGTAAATTTAATTTGGGTGTATGTTTCTTTGGTCTACTTCAGATTTTAGCACAGGTAACCATGTATGACTTAAATTAAATGAACATGAAGCAACACAATTATTTT